GGCCTGCGAGTTGCGGGCTCGCAACCGCTGCGGAGAGCTAGGAACGAGCAGCGCACTACACGCCCAGGATACTACCACAGCCTTGATAATAACCCTAACGCTTCCTTCCTCCACTTTACACATTTATATCATTTATTTATCCACGTAGTTTTCAAAATATTGCGTAACAACAATAAAATAAAATTGTTGCTGTTTTTTCAAAATAAACTACTGCGTATCACTATTTCAATATTCTAACGCAACCAAGCGAAGTTTCTAATATGATATAACGACAACGCTTCCGATTCATCGCCAATCAAATACTGATAACAGTAAAGTGGTCGATTGATTACTAAGAACTTTGTGTGATATTTCTTTATTTTCAAGAAATCTCACTATTGTATTGATATTACTCTTATCTAAAATGATATTGGAAAACTTTAAAACTTTAAAAAATCAGGTTTACATAGTCTTTACATGTCAATGTTACTAACTGAAATTCGAAGATTCATTCTTTAATTTCCAAATACACTTTTAATCAATTTAAGATTCATGTAGTTTATAGTATCGGAACAAGAACATTTTTAAACTTAAGCTTTAGCATTCGTAATAGCATAAGACTGCTAAAGAAAGTCCTATCATAAGCCCAGCGAGAAATTCTGATGTGCTTCTGTAGACACCATTTCCAAAGTGACACCAGCAGTATTTTACCCTATAAAAGACATACATCTAAATCAAGCATTCCGACTTATATGTTCTGTTCATATTGATTAGAACTTCACGGTACGACACTAATACATGGAATTTTTCTTATTAATGATGTATTATGATATGTAGGTATTATGCGAGGCGAGAAATTATAATAAATTAGAACGTTTACACATATACAATACCAGTTATACCAGATGGTACTTCGGACCAAGTTCTTATAACGAATAACCTGCACACGCGAATTGTTTACTATTTTGGCTTGTTTATGTCGGCTCATAATTAAGACTATGCTCCTCTTCTGGATCTTTGCCAGGAAATACCAATCGAGCTAATTGACGCTATTGCTCAATTACTTCGATAGTTAAAACCTACTTTACAGGAGCAAAAGACCACATATTCCTTGAGAGTTCGGATCATTATAATTATTCATTTTAAATTACAGTTATTTGAATTTCGCGTTTGCAATTGTGTCCGCAGTTTTGCAAAAATCTTTTCACTGATAATGTGTACTTGCAATAAATTAGAGTAGGCTTGAGTAAGGACCTATTAAGCTGTGAGGAATGTAGATTATAAATGCAAATTTCAACTTTGATCTTTGCGAGGCATAACCGTTTATTTGCATAAGATTATTTTTGAACATGTGTGCAGACAACAGCGCAGTTGTGAATCATGATAACGCACCCCGGTTAGTGTTATCGATATATCTTACATGGTAGATTGTAGAAGTCGCGAACATGGAAATAGGAGTCAGGATGTTGACAATTTTCTAGGATTTATCCGTGAGCGTCAAGATCTTTAAAAAAAAAAGAAAAAAAAACGATCTTTCGAACATTCCCCTGAAATGATTCATACCATTTCGATTCTCAAACATGTTAATTTGTTGCTATTTTACAAAAGTATTTCACTATTGTAGTTAAATAAAGTAGCTTGACTTTGCATGCCCCATGTTGTGTTAGTGTGTGTGTGCAGAAATTGATTTCAATGTATTACTTGATTGATGTTATGTCAACAAGATAACACTTAAATCAAACATTACAGAATATTGCATTGTGGCCTTATTTTTCACAATCATACTATTTACTCTTTCCAACTTTTTAATTGCACGACAAACATAATGAACTAAAAATAAATAAACTGGATAATGGTAAGATTTGAATAAAGTGCAAGCGTAAATATGTGTTAATTATTATTTATAACTATTATAATTGTAACACAAAAAGCCTAGGACTTTATATTTTGTTGTTAAATTATTTAAAAATCGTTATGTATGCTCAATATTGTCCTTTTAACAGAATCAAATACATACTGTCTATAGCTCATTTAACTTGGGAAACGTAAACAAATAAATTAAATGATCACAATCCATGGATCTATGCCAAACTATCAATCCAGCAAGCCACTTCGCATTTAAGTACAAATAACCATAAATTAGGCTTTACGAACATATAACCGTGATGAGATTAAGAAAGGTTAATATAAAAATAAGCTGTGCCTATTTTCAAAAAACATTTTACTACGAGTATGAAGTAATCGACACAAAAAACATATTTTTTCTTACACTATAATATAAAAGTGGTAGTCAGAAATACTGATTTATTTTCGCTTTAATATCTTAGTAAGATTTTAACTTATAGCAATAGGTCATATCATATTCAAAGTGTTGCGTCAGCAAACTCTTACAGTGACCGCTGAGTGCTCCACAGATGGTTCAAAATGTGTCGCTGACATGATCTGTCGATATGTCGATAAACAAAAAATATTAAAACAAAATTATATTTGGCTCTTGCATATGTAGTTTTGCGTTATTTCATAGCCGTTTGATCTCATGTAGACCTACACTGAACACAAGTAATATTCTCGTGAAAGAAACCGATGTCTTGTTAATAAAACATTTTAATAAAATAAAACCAGAAACAATTAAAAATAAACTTGTATTCGATAAAATTGTACACATATAATTCCACATCATGGCTACACTATCAATTAAATAATTTTACTGACTTTATATTCAAATTGGCACATAGAATTCTTAACAATAATAACTTATAATAAGAATTGATCTTGTATCATATGCGACTAATTTCTAAAACAAATTATAATATAAGTGGCACATACAATATTAGCAGGACATACAGTAAATAATATCAACTTTGTACCTTTTTAATTACGTTCCATTGTATGCATAACAATTAAGGCGCTCTGGTATCAAATTGCGCATCTTTCAAAAGACTTCATTTTTAAATGTTCTATCCCAGAGCGCCTTAAATATGCTTCATTCAAAATTCTACATTTCTATGTTTAAACAGGATAAAATAAAAATTCTAATGGCATCCGCAAGTCTTAACAACCATGTTCTTGTATTTTCGCAGTATGACGTTAGAGTCATCAGTGTAGTACAGCACAGATATTGTCGCCAGCTTGATCGGCGCACACGACGGCTTCGGCACCTACAAAAAAAAACATACAGACGACTTGAGTACCTTCTTCTTTTGGGAATTCGATGAAAAAACAATATAAACCTCACAAGTTACTCGACTCTTTTCACAAAATACAGAAAAATAATAGCATTGCTTAGTATGTTCTTGCAACAAGAACGGCACGTATTTAAAGGCATGTGTTTAGTGTGACAGCGAGATTGCGATTAACTGAAAAGAAAGACTGGAACTGAAAGTGAAACTGAAGAAAAAACGGGCCAAAATAACTCGTATCATACTACGTGTAGAAAAAACGTGTTGAATATCGGACAAGCAAGTGCTGAAATGCGCGATTTCAAAAATCCAAAAACATACAAATGAGAACACGAAAATACGAATTAAGAACCATCTCCTTTAGGAAGTCGGTTAAAAGGGCGTTATTTATTAAACTATTTATTTTATGCAAATAGAGCTACAAATGGGGTTAGGATTAGGACAGTAAAATTTCGTTTTCCCAATTAATATATTATTTTTTGATTCTGTTGCACTACTCGCTGTTCTTAAGGATAACGATTATTTTAACAAAGTAAAATGGAGTATAAAATGTCTTTCTTACCTGTGTTGGATTTAATAAATGCACCAATGTTTGTACGATGGCGTGATTTGTAGCATTTTTGTGAGCGTTGAGTGGAAAGTTGCATTCTCCGCTGCAGTAGTACGCGCTATAGCCGTCAGGGGCTATAATCCAGTCCTATAATTTACAAACATTTTTTTTTACATTAGAAGATATTTTTGGTACTAACTTTTTGTTGCTAATAGTCCTTGTACTGTTATAACTAAGCTTGAGAATTGTATTACGAATGGTTCACGACAATAGCAGAATGACGATATTCGAATGTGCTTCATTATTTTTAGTTATCGTGATAATTATAATCATTAATACAAGTTTAATTAATAACTGGTTCATTTCGTATTCTTGTTACCATTATAGTTTTTATTTGTCTTTTATAGAATACTTAACCAAAAAGTAACACTTACTTGCCATTCCAAATCCTTAAAACTAACGTACAATGTTTGGATTTCGCAGCTCCTGGTCGTCCAATGCGACGTGTCTGGAATATATTAGCATCTTATATAAATACTGTTATCATTCAAGGTATGCCTTATGTTGGCAGTGTGGAACATTGTTTTATACAGAAACACCATCTGTTGCAAAACATTTGCATTGTTTAATTTCTTGGACAATATGACACACTATGACAAATGTATGTTTCTCTAAACTAGTTCGGTAGATTTTTAAATTAGTTGTTTGTCACACAATATACCATTGAATTGAGGGTTAAAAAAGATAAAACAAAACAGAACTGACCGGTCAAAGGATTCCTCAGATAATTGTCAGTATATCCGTGTGTTCTCCACCGCCTCGCTTCCCGCTTGCGGCGCGCCCCGGCGTCCCAGCCGCCTAGCTTGGGCCCGTTCTTGAAAAACGCCACGAGGAAGGGCTGTTTCCCATCAGCGCCTGACCCACGAGCTTCATCAAGACCAATTTCTTCTGGCTTCACGTGACGTTCTGTGTAAGTAATATCTTAGTAAATAACTAACGCTAAATCTGCACTCTTTTATTCATTCCACAATATTGTTAGTTGTTACTTTTAAATATCGTTTATACATGAAACATTTACATTAAGAATTAAGGAACTTTCTTAATGACCATTAAACGAATCTGAGTTTAGCAATAGGCTTAAAGGAATAGAAACTCTAGTAGGATCGAAAAATCTTTCTCCTTATTTGTCCAGAATGTAACTGAGGGCCCAGTTGAAGGAATCTTTGCCGGTTCCTGTCAAAAAATGACAATAGTTTAAATTTCAAGAATAACATCTCCCCTTCTCATCAACACTTACCTGGTTGCGAATGTGGGTGGATAGTGATGAAGAAGCCTCTATTCTCCGTGGGTTCTGTGAGCCAGGCGCGCAACGCCATAGTCACGTTTAGTTCCAGCCAGCCCTCCGCGCCCGCGCTTGTGTTCACCGCGGCCACGCGCTCCATTTGTAGGCCCCTGTAAAGTATTACCATACCATTATTCATGTATGATTGATTTGATAATAATGTCAATGATTGTACGCAACTCCTTAATTATGGATACATTTTCATTAAATTAGAAAATCTATTTATAAAAGAGATGTAAAACAGCTACATGTTGGAGTGATCTTGTTTCACATGCACTCGAAATTCAAAATTCTTCAACCCTTACAGCTCCTAATAATATGTTTTACTGCGAGTTAAATCAATTACACTTACCCGACATTATCGACGCTTAAGACCCTGTGGGCGACAACAGTGTAGAGACTGGTGGGTTCGTCGGTGTGCTTGGCAGCCTGGTGGACGCGCAGCTCGGCCGTTAGCAAGGAGGACGCGTCACTAGGCGCAGCGGACACCTCGAACCACACATGCCGTCCATGACCGTGACGCAAAGCTCCTAAGTGATGCTCTATAACAAAGTTTATAAATAGAATAGTATTAAAATCAGCAAGATATAAAAATAACTATCCTAATTCTTTAGTTTATCATAGTTTTAACTCGTCTTGGTTTTCCCCTCAACAACGAGAACCAGCCGGCGTTCTAGAATCTGTTTCGATATGTATAATTTAAGTTATCGACATTAAATTTCGTCTTTATAAAAACTGAAAAAAACATAGAAAAACCAAAACGAATCGAAGGGAGTTATGGAATGACGTAATATTGAATATATAATTGAAATCAAATATAACGAAATGTTTTATGAATGGTCGTTTAAAAAAAAACAACAGGTGTCCCATCAAGTAGCGCTGTAACTTGATATCATAGTGCACGTGTTTAACAAACACATATCACATTTAATTAAATACAGCTTTAATCACAAAATTATTTAAATTATAAAATCTATACATTATAACCTATTAGAGAATTTGAGTTATGTTATGTTGATTCTTTTAAACTATAAGTGAATACATATAACTTGAGAAAATTCAACGTTGCAGTACCAGCAGAAAATTTCCCACCATTTAAGTACAATCGCACTTTGAATACTTTTTCTTTGATTTGTCAAATCTTGTTAATTAAAACCCTCAGTGTTCTATTTCTTAATTTCCGGTGTTAAAGAATCAAACTCAATAATCGTAAGTATACAGTTGTAGTATACTGTAAGAAACTATGTAGGTAAACTATTCACGTTGTTTTCGATAAGTTATATACTTGGTTTAGAGATTGTACGGATGTAACTTATCCACACGAATGTCCAGTGCTCAGACCAGGTGTGGCACGAGGCGAATGTTTAAACAGTTACCTTATCGTGACAATTTTAATCGACTCACAGTCCGCACGACTTGTCTATGTGGATTGCACATCAAAACGTCCATCCGGTAGCAGCGGGATAGCGATAATAAAATGATATAAGCAGGATTTTAATCTGTAATATTTGAGATCAATTAAATTTGATCTAAAATAGCAATATATCAAGTATAAACCAAATGAATTAAAACATGTCCGTAAAATAGATGGCCACTAAACCTAACAACAGTTGAGATGTTGATAACAAATAAGATAACTCTTTTAGAGTTAAGTTCACCACTACAACTAACTTCCAATATGTATTTTCGACATATTGTTTTCTTTGTGTACAAAGTGTAAATAAATAAATAAACAAGACAAATTAACTACAGTTATGGGACCAATATCATTTTCCGGTAAAGGCCCATTTCAGATTATCAAAATTCATAAGTTTTTACTTTGCTTTGCTTGTCGTGGAAAAAAGACAATGAACAGCTCATACAAAACTTTTAATTACTGCGTTGAGGGTTATCCATGGCTACCTGCCCCATTTGTATAAGTATGCGGGCGGTCGACATCAATCCGATCGCTTGGTATGCGGCTCGGTCACCCGCAGACAGTGCGTAATGACTCAACCTACCTGAGCCCTAAGCTCTCTTTACACATTTCAGTATACAAGAGCCAGAAACAATAAAATGTCTCACCATTATAAAGCGATATTAGCTCAAGTAGTGTACACAATTTACTCAGAAAAATGTAAAATTTTCTGCTATATTTACTTGGTACATCCCTAGGTGGTACTACAAGGCATTCACATCTCACGGACTCCACGCTACGTACATAATTTTATCTTGCACCTCAATAAGTAGGTAATATCACTAGCGAAATAATAGCCAGTAAACATTACCGTTCCCTAATTTGCCAAATTTGAAAACACTTATCACCACAACTATCCCTACCCTAAGCCTTCTGACCGAAAGCCGCTCTAAACTTAGTTACAGGTGTTTATGCGTTATTCACAATTGTACATAGCTAAAAAGGAAGCTATACACTAGTATCTGAAGAAAAGCGCCATTTATTATTGGCCACATCGCGTAACTTGTATATCGTGACCAGATATAACACTATGAACTGTAAATAGCATCTTTTTTATCAACTACCTATCCTTTCTTCCAGCATAGGAACTTAAAAATTTCATTTTCTCAATTGGAGTTTATGAATTAAAACTAAGTTAATTAGATATACTAGTTAGATAGAATGTTCCTAGCCACCACCTATTCACACATTTAGTGCTGCTTATTGTAGCCAACTACATACATAGATATCTCGAAAATCCATACTTACTTTTACTTTGAAATGTCATTATTAAATCACTTTCGTCAATGGCTTGCTGTTCTTCGCCACTTAAAGCCATTTCAGAGCTTCGTGTCGGCCGAGCTTGCTCATGTTCTTCTGCTAGCTGCTTGTACACGTCCAGCAGAAAACTTGGAGCCGACCGGTCCAGAGGCGGCGCACTGGTGCGTCGAGGTCTCTCTCCCAGACCCAAGAGGTCCAGAATTTCATGTTCGACTAGCAGTCTTTCATGGCGTGTCATTGAATGATGAATAACAGTTTGATCCACGCCATTGTCGATGTACAAACCGGAGAGTACCGCTTCACACGTCGCTATAAACAATAATAAATTAACACACCGCCACGCCGTCTTCGGGTGAGACATGTTTACAGTCCGATTGACACAACGACGCACGGTCTCGAAGTAGACTGCTCACTAATAAATAAAAAGTTTACGGTCGAGTCGGCTGCGGAATCGCACGAGACCGACCGCAGCCACCGAACCTGCCCACTCAAGGTGGGCCGGCGGCCGCCGCGCCGCGCTCTTCGCAGCTTCCCCTCCCTCTCGCTCGCCATCGCCACTCGCCACACATCGTCTCAATAATGTAAACATTGAAGCGCCACTAAATGCGTCAAGCGCACTTGTATTCCTCCGACCCCGATTATAACACTCACTTATATCGAGTAAACAAAGGAATAAAATTAGTTTCACTGGAATCGTCATACATCAAAACGGTACAAAGCTCCATTTGTGATATGAACAATGTAATGACAGAGTCGTTTTAAACTGCAGTGACCCGACACGATAGCATGTGCTAGTATAATACACACAACTATTTCCTTAATATTAAATATACACATCGGCTGCGTATGCTGCGTCACAGCTTAACCATTTTAATTGAATTTTGCGTGGGCGAGAGGAACTACACACACTACAGTAACAGTAACAACTACCTTAATTATACCAAAAATATCACCAACTTAAGTATCACTTACTAGCTACTTTACGGTGACGTGCTAACTTAATCCAATTTGCATATTATTAAAAAATCAACATTTTATACAATTTACATACATATCCAATTTTAAGTGCTCGTAACGAGGTAAATGGTACTCCTAACATGAGGGTAGACGGAGAATTATTTTTAAACTCCATTAAGATTACTTATGATTTAAAACATATTTTTTCGAAAGATAACGCAGAAAATAAAAATAACTTTACGCACTTCGATACATTTTATCTGTTCCCACAACTTCTTTAAAAACAATAAGGTTTTCGCTTCATGTACGTAGTAATATAATATGATAGAGAAATTAATAAACTGGCAGCTGAGCCAAACATAATAGGAGAGATCAAGGCAGACTAACTTGCTCCACCTTTGGTAAGAGATTATAATCTGTATGTATCTTCATATTTTATATAACCACGCTAATAGTATGAATTAATTGTTATTACGTAAAAAAAAACAATTGTTTACGGTTGTTATGAATTTATTTTCTTTTATCAAATCTTATGTTACAGTTGTACCACACTTAAAAATGTTAAATAAATTGAGTCCTATGTTGTGTCACCCTTATTATTGACAAATACTAAAAAAAATTTAAATTTCCTATTTCACATACTTCTCCATGAACTTTTTATGAAACTCTGATCTCAACGAATCATTTATAAATGTGTTTAGCTTCTTTTCTGGCTCTGATCGAGCACAGTTTTTGAAGACTACATCGTCATCCCATCTTCGTTTCACCTGCAAAGAAAAAATATAATATAAAGTTGAATCAAGTAATTATTTCTAAACTACTGTCAGGAAGAATTGGTATCCTTCCCAACCAATTATTTAATGAATGGCACCTATCCAAGTAAAAGTTGTTTTATTTACTTAGTGGCAGCCTACAGTTGTATTCAATTTAGCTGATGTTTTAGCTGGTTTTTGTTTATAACAACTAAAAGTGTATATTAACATAATATAAGATCACCTTTAAATCATTTTTTTGTCCTGCTGCAGAATAATTTAGTAATGGATTGCCCGACAATATGTTTTCCATACGAATTCTTTCTTCCTCTTGCTTCTTTTCAGCATCCTGCAAAATTACATATGAATCAATAACGATAATTTGTAAATCATTAAAAATGGTAATGGCATCAAACCATGGTAGTTACTTAGAATTTCAATTCTATTATTGCACAAACCTTTTTTGCTTGTTCAATTGCTCTTTCCTTTTTAATTTTATTCAATTCGGCCAATAATGCTGCTGTGTCATCATCCGAGTCATCCGAATCTGTAGAATCTCCTTCCAATGGGTCATCGGCATCTAAACTAGCAGCTGGTACTTGATCTATTTTTAACCTCTTTGCAGGTGGCTCATTTTGCCTTCTCGATGTAGATCCTTTGCTTTCTTTTTCCCTCTCATCTAATTCTTTACGGAAATCTCTTGTCCTTAGCTCTTCAGTAGTACCTTGACCTTGTTCCCTATAAAATAGGAAAAATAGACTTTATGCTCAATTTCTGGAAATTAATCAGACTCTAAATCTATCTTAGAAATGCATTTGTTTAATTTCAATATGTTAAACCATTAAACATATATTTGCATTTACAAATTACCTGTATTTTAGTTTAGTATGCCCTGGAAGATCTCGACTAGAGTATTGACGAGATATAGCACTAAGATCCTTTTCTCCGCGTCCTTGTCCACCTCGCGCTGGATCAAACGTTGGTCTGGCAGCAGTAGTCATGTTTAAGACACTTTACAATCCTAAATAAGGGCAATAACTTTGTTAACTTAGAAAAACGCAATATAGTCTCCGTCTTCAGATTCAGTAATATAACTAAGTAAGTGGAATAAAGTAAACTTAAACTTCTGTACTTTTTATTTTTCTGACAACTGCCAAATAACTGACAGTTTACTTTTACTTTTTCTACCTAAAGGACAAAGAGTAGTGAATAATGTGCGTTAAAATCAAGTTAAAATGTTCTAAAATGGTTATTCGGAATAAGTGGAATAACTTATTCCACTGACCAACTGACCTCCACAAATAGACGACTAGGACAAGTGTCGTTTTTACCTATTTGAGCGCATTTAGCGTATCTTATATCATTTTAGATTTTTTTACCCATTTTAGCGTTGACTATCGCGGTTGGTGGCGGTGGTGAGGATCGAAATTAATATTTGAGGCAGACTTAACTGTTTTTAAACATCAACAGGCACGTTTAAATCGGAAAGAATCCAGACGCTACCAATTGATACCGCCAGCACCGAAATGTTAAAATGAAATAGGCAAAAATATACGTTTTATAGCCGATCCGTTTGTATAGGTCAGTGGAATTTGTCAGTTTCATTGTCAGTGGTCTATGGTCTGAACAGCAATTGTAAACTCTGCTCTGTGGGCTCTGTGCGCTGTAGTCGGTGGTCAGTGCCAGAAACCTAAAAACTACTCGAAAGAAAGGAAAAATATGGTCGTACTTCTTAATTCTTATCTTTATCTCTGAACATATAATATTGGACGCTATTTGGTTCGACAAGCCCATTACGAAGACTACAAGCTTACATACATATTTTGATATTACCAGGTACGTAAAATGTACTATTTGCATTACAATAAGATAATATATTTGTCAAATAGTGATGGAATGGAAACGTGAACGCCATTTTGTTACTAATTACATAGAGTCGTCTTGTAAAATTCCGTAGCATGTAAAATATTAAGCATAAGGAGAATTTTAAGCATCAATTTTAAACCGGTAATTTATATGTATTATTAAGGGTAAAAATCAATTCTTTATCGACAGAATGGCCGAAGATTTCGATGTAGAGGCAATGCTCGAAGCTCCATACATAAAATCGGTGAGTATTGTCAGATGCATATGAATGCATCATTTAATTTCAATTACATTGTTATCTAAAACTCTTATTTTAACGAGACAATTACCCGAAATTGCGACTGTAAAGTAGATACGATAATATGTTAGCATCATACATTTTGTTAAATATCTATAGTGACCCATCTTTGAAAAACATCGAGAAAGTAGAAACATATCTTCGTGTAGATATTAACTTTGTTGCTGTTGAGTAAATATATAGATATAGGTTTTTGTTATATCTGGTTCCAATATTTTTAGTTACAAGAAATTAATGCAGAAGTTGTATTTATTGTAGTTTATTTAATGGAAAAGCCAAAAGATGTAGGGCATTACAAAATATCAAAGTAATGACACAATAAATGAAGACAATATTTTTGTGTAAAAGTTAAACATACCAAGGTGATTTTCTAAGAAAACTTAAATAGCAGGTTCTTTTATTTTAGTTTAGTTTAATAAAATCTAAATTATATGTCTATTTGAGTTGTAAAACTGTAAAACAAATTTACATTTGAGAATCGTTTCTTATATTTATAGAACTTTGTGGTTATTGTCCAGCATACTTCATCGACCTGAACCAAAAAGAGGTATCCAATACTATATAATATTTTTACTTTCTGATACATGAAAAATAACTTGTCTGCTAGTTAAACCAAATGTATTAAAATCGTTGTGGAAAAGTCACACTCTTATGGGTGATAAATCTTTTGCAGAAGTTTCCGTCTGTGATGTTAGCTGTTTACACCCTTAGTCAATGGTTTATTAAACGGTAAGTCAGCGGGGAATAGAGAAAAGCAAACAAATTTGACAAACCAAATACAAAAAGCCGTCGTAAATTAATCTAGGCAAAGTCATAAATAACATTTGTGATACTTCATCACATAACAACTTGTTAGTGAAGGAATATTCACAAATGTTTTTGAATTAACAATATAAATTAACTAATACATTTTTATTTATTCATTGGCGTGTTGCTGTGGTGCTGCTTCTACCTTGTGCTTTGTGTGACAGGATACCACATCCTCTTCAAAACATCGATCGGACAAGTATTCTGATAAGCACAGAGACAGAGAAAAGGATGGCAATCGAAGGTAACTACATAATTTTTTTACACAAGTATATATACTATCATTTTCTGCTGAACCTGGCATTTAAGGATAAGCTTCTTTTGTATACTAAGAATTTTTTTTACCAAAGTGGCCTCATTCTCTGTCCACTGCTTTAGAAACCCATAAAAAGAACATACAAACATTAATCAATTAATTTTATGTCTTTGTCAGTGTGGATTTGTTAATGATAATATTTACTTGATAATTCATATCAATTTTGATTGAGTGATGTAATGACATGAAATAAAATAACATTTATTAAAACTAACTTCAAAAAAATTAATACTTCAAATTGCAAGAATTAAAAAAATAAAAAACGCATATAGGTATCAATGGGCATCTATAAAATACATACAAATGTACAAAAGATGTACATTAAAGTTCTTATATATATTGACAAGGTAATTTCATTTTAGACGCAGTAGATCTCGAGAGAAAAGAAGATCGAGAGATAGGGATTCACGACGCTCAAGAGACAGGGATGAGAGAAAGAATAAAGAGAAAGATAGAGAGAGGGAAAAGGACAGAGATCGGAAAGACCGTGTCAAAGATCGTAGTGACAGACACATAAAAGATAAAGATCGTGACAAAGATAAGGAAAGGGAACGTGATAGAGACAGGGAAAAGAGGCGAAGTAGAGACAAGGAACGTAGTAAAGAGAGAGAACGTAGTAAGGACAGGCACTCGAGACGCGAAAAGAGTCGGGAAGAAGAGCCTAATAATGAATATCGGTCTAAATCAAGAGGAATTGAACCAAAATTAGAGGATTTGCCTCCAGAAGAAAGAGATTTGAGAACTGTTTTCTGTATGCAGTTGTCTCAGCGGATAAGAGCTAAAGATTTAGAAGAATTCTTTTCATCTGTTGGTAAAGTTAGAGATGTTAGACTTATCACATGTAACAAAACTAGGAGGTTTAAGGGGATAGCATACATAGAATTTAAGGATGCTGAATCAGTCCCATTGGTAAGTTGATGAAATATGGTGTAACTAAAAAATGTATATTTTTTTAAGTCATGTTTTGTAATAAATTTTCTTTTACAGGCTTTGGGTTTGACGGGACAAAAGTTACTTGGTGTCCCCATTATAGTACAACACACACAGGCAGAGAAAAACAGAGTAGGCAATACTTTGCCCAACCTAGCTCCAAAGACAAGTAATGGTCCCACTAGACTGTATGTTGGCTCATTGCATTTTAATATTACAGAGGATATGTTGCGAGGAATTTTCGAGCCATTTGGGAAAATTGATCACATCCAGCTTATGACTGACCCGGAAACAGGGAAAAGTAAGGGTTATGGTTTTTTGACGGTAAGTTTCATACCTATGTTAAATAATATGTTACCTAATTAACTGATCGATAATAAATTAATGTCACATTGATCACATAAAAATCTACCAGAGTGTGTTTTAAAATTTCCATGTGTTCACAAACAAAAACAAACTCTGATATTTTTTACAACCATTTTCCATATGTTCATATTTATTACTTTTCCTTTAGTTCCATCATGCAACAGATGCAAAGAAAGCGATGGAGCAATTGAATGGATTCGAATTAGCGGGAAGACCAATGAAAGTAGGAAATGTAACGGAGCGTACAGACGGGGGCTCCAGTACTCGCTTTGATGCTGATGAACTGGACAGAGCTGGTGTCGATCTCGGGGCAACAGGCCGTCTACAGTTAATGTTTAAGCTTGCAGAAGGAACTGGATTACAAGTATGTATTATTTCTTTCATCACCAACTTATGGAAATAAAATAGTACCATGTTATTATAAAAAAAAATTACAGTAACCAGATGAACTTAGAAATTCTGCTATCCTGAATCTGTAATGAGTTGTATTAAAAATAAAACTATATATTTGTGTATGAATGTAATTAGATAAAACAATTTGTTAAATTTTAATACTTGTATTACCAAAACTGCAACTTATCTTCCATAAATGTGTCTTAAAACTTTTCCTCATGAACTATGTTGGAACTAAAATATTTATCTTAAAATTACATGCTGATAGCCTTTATGTCAAAATACAATTGATATTAATGTTATTCCAAGTCATTCTTTTTAATAAGTGCTGATAAAATTGATGGTACATAATGATTTTATTTGTTGTACTTTAGATTCCTCCAGCTGCCGCATCTGTTTTGATGGGGAGTGGGTCTAATATAGTAGCCCCGCAGCCGCAAGTAGCGCCACCCATAGCCACACAGTGCTTCATGCTCAATAACATGTTTGATCCTGCCACGTAAGTTAAATAAAAGCAAAACATGTACCTTACACAATTAAAAAATATTATTAAAAATATACACATTAATAACTTATCATTAGTTCAATTACCTTCAAATTTAAAGATGTAATAAATATAAAGAAATGAATGACTATGTTTCCTTGAGAAATAAAACATTTAATTATCATTCAGTAGCTTTAATAAACTTTGGAGTAGTAGTACTCTTTAAAAACTTCTATGAAGATAATTCACGACATAAAATATATTTATTTAAATTATGATTGTTTTATTTACCAAAAATTTAAACAATAGAAAAATACAAAATAATGTTAAACAAAGTGGTAATTATTACTCTTTACTAACATCTTTGCGGCCCAGTCTTTGGGCACGCTATGGTAATATTCTGCGCACTCGCAACATTGTATATGTAATTGTTTGTAGAGAAACGAACCCGCATTGGGACATCGAGATCCGCGACGACGTGATCAGCGAGTGCAACAAGCACGGCGGCGTCCTGCACGTGTACGTGGACAAGGCGTCGCCGCAGGGCAACGTGTACTGCAAGTGCCCCACCATCGCCACCGCTGTCGCCTCCGTCAACTCGCTGCACGGGCGATGGTTCGCCGGCCGCGTCATCACCGCCGCCTACGTGCCGCTCGTCAACTACCACTCCCTCTTCCCCGACGCCATGACCGCGCTCTCGCTGCTGCTGCCCACGCGCCAGCGGTAACTCGCGAACATGCCTCCTATACTATGTATTTAGTGGTGTTCATAATTATAGCTAATAAAATATACATATTATCTTTGCCTTTTTATACACAAATCCATTCCATTATTCCTCTTAAGTACAAGTTGAATATTTTCTAGGCTTTATACAGCTCTTATCCAATCGATTTCTAATGTAGCTGGTCCTTTTTGTTTAATGGGTTGGTACACCCCACCATACATCTGGAGACCTATACTCGTTATTTGGGAAGTATCTAAAGGTTCGCTATTGTTGTTCCTCTTGCCTCTGTAGTATGCTTTGAATTCAGAGAAAGGTAAAGTTCGTATAGCGAATTCATCTTTGGGAGCCTGAAATTATATTAAAAAAAATGTTATTTAAATGAAAACTAAAATGTTGATTTTTCACGATTCTAAATAATTGTTCCTGATTTAAATTCGTTGACCTCTCTAGACATTGACATCATAATGCTTTTTATCTTTAAAACACTATTTACAAATTGTACAAACAACTTATCAAAACAGTTGACTTTATATAAAATGGACTATGCGAAATTTACTTTGTAACGTATTTCGGCAGTCATTCTGTTTTCAAAACTACGATTCCTTTTTGACATTTTTCAATCTGACTTTCCTTATATCCTAAAATAAAAATTTTCGTCCTAAAATATATTTTTAACAAATAATAACTGAATACCTGAAAATATTGTTCATATGAATAGTTAGGTTCATCGTTTAATCCTTTGTGTCGCAAAACCACTTTAAATCCGTTATATTGACCTTGACCTCTACATTTGACCTGTAGTTTTGTGTACCCAGTGAGATTGTATGTTTTAATCGCCCTTATGCCCGCGAAACCGGCGCCATTTAATTGTGGATTTAATAATGCAAAAAATATGGCTCGTCTGTACCCAGTATTTTGATGTAACGCAAGCAACGCTTTCGACATACCGACATTTCGTACAGTATCAGATTGTTCTTGCCAATTCACCACATCATCACTTTTAGTGAAATCGAACAAGTATCGTTCCTCAGGTGAAGAAATGTTACTGGAATAAGAAAAAAACAATGTAAACAATCATGACACATACATAATGTCTATTTTTTATATTACACGATGACCAACGAACGAGCGGCCAACGGAATTCGCTAAAATAGAGATGTAAGCTCTGCCAATAGACACCCGCATTTTCTGATTTTTTGATGTGTTGCTTAGTGCATACATTTAATCAACAGACGATTTCACATAGTTAGAGGAAATATGCGTCTCCTTCCTACGCTAAATCCACTTACACTTCCCTTCCTTTTACCAAAAGAATAAAAGAGCTATGAGTATGCACACTCAACGACAAAACGCTGAATGACTCACCTGGCGAACCGCCTCATTCGAAATTCGTGCAAGATGTTATTGCGGTCTCTAATTGTATTCTTAAAATACGTGGATAAACTAATTTTAGGTAGTTATAAATGTATTTACATTTTATTAGTAGCAACTTATACCAGTTATTAGTTCTCATAAAAAAACTAATATTATGAAGAGAAAAGATTTGTATTTTTGTATGTAGTGAAATAACTCAAAAACTCCTAAGGCCGATTTTAAAAATTCTTTTACCGTTAGAAAGGAAATTTATCTGTGAGTAACATAGGCTAAATTTACAGCTGGTAAAAATACATATGAAACTACAAGGTATTACTAAACCTCCATCGAAGTGGTATGTTTTTAAACCGAGATTATTAGTTCTTCATCGGCCAGAATGCTTATGCCGACTCGATTTGAAGTAGGTGTAACAAACTCGTGGAAGACAGGAGAGAAGGCGGTATGTATGTAAATAACTAACTTCTGCCCGCGACTCCGTCCGCGTGTATTAAAAAAAAAGGATGTAGCCTATATTTTTTCCAGACTATCTTCTACACCTCTGTGAAATTTCATCAAGATCCGTTCAGCACTTTAAGCTACAACTCTAACAAACATCCATCCATCCACCAAGTAAGAATTACGATTCCAAAACCTCCAATTCACTGGGATCAACAAAAAATCATCGACAAAACACTTGCTACGTATTTAGATGTGGCCAATGATTAGGTGTTTTATATTAAACATTTATAGGCTTATAGGTATAAGCAAGCTATTCATTTTACTGTCTTGAATAAAAAAAACATTGACTTACCTTGAATAACAAGGGACATTCATAAAAATGACAAATGTTATTGTTATTATTATACTAACTTTATATGAAAACATTTTGTGAATATAAGTCAAATTAAGAAAGACAAACATGCACTTTGTATACTTTCGTTAACTCAAATAACTGTTTTTAATTATGTCCAGAAGTATATGCGGCTATCATTCATCACTAAGTATAAACACTGCTTAGCTGGTAGATAGTCTGAACATTTGACTCTGGTTATCTTTTATCGATGTCATTGACGTCTAACAGTATCGAAACTGGTTTAGTAGTAAAACAATTAGTTTATTTTATTACTCTTTGAGTTTATGTGATAGGGTACAAAAAGTAAAAGATTCTATAACGTAGTTGAGGTTATAATACAGGTTCTAGATTGTTGCAATATGTTCACTAGAATGCAGATAATGATCACTTTACAAATACGTAACGGCATAATGTTATTAATATTTATAGGTGTTTTATACTTAATTACTGTATAGCTCATTACATACCATTGCGCAAACTCGGGAAGTAGTACGTCTTGTGTACACGATGACTCGTCCATGTTTGGTTAAATACGAAATTATACTAAAATTGCAACTTCGTTTCTCTGTACTAGAACGACAGATTGTAATTGTAGTCTATTGGTCTATATCGATTTTAAAGTCTGAATACATCAATAAATGCTTTATAATTCGACAAATTAACTCAAAGAATCATCAACAATTTAGTCAGACACGCATTTATTTAATTTGGGGCCGAATAAACTTCTTCCGAATTAGATGGTCTCCTCTTCCCCCTTTCCTTTAACATAGATTAATGTAAAAAAAATACTGTTTTTTGGACAAAATTAGAGATTTCGTAAATAACCCGGTGTACAGGGACCTACGCGAGTAGAACAAAGATGGAGATGATAAAAACAACTTTATTTTTGACAACATATGGTTATTTCTAGCACTCGCCTCCACCTGCTCCTTTCATAGCTCTCACCTTATCCTAAACAGGGATCGAGCAGTCTCTTGACCCTCGTTTATAGATTATGATCAATACAACAATACACCTAATAGAGCATAGCCATATGGTTTCGCAGTCAAAATGTAAAGTAAAAATTCTCAACTGTAGGTTCCTGTTCCCTAATTCCATTTAACCAAGATTCACAATTGAAACCATTCATGATAATTCTCACATGAAATCTTGAAAAGTTTTTGGTTATTAAAGCATTGTCAATGAAATAAAAAGATTTAAACAAAAAATATTTATTTATTTCCACCACCACTTGGAACTGAAGGATGTTTCAACATTCCAACTTTTCTTAGATATCTAACAATAAACGGTGTGGCTGTTAAGGTAACACCTATCCTAAAGGGAGCAAAAAACTTATGAACTCCATATGCAATTACAAATGTTCCAGCATTGGATACAGCCATTTTTGAAAGTGTTCCTTCACTTATGTTGAAATACTTCATTATTGCAACTAAGTCGACTCCACTAAAAACAAATAAAACCATAATTATTTCGTACTAAAACTAATAGAAACAAGTTTTTATATTATATTAAAACTTCTGTAATTCCACAAACAAATCATGTATGACTACATACACTGAAAACAAAAGAAGAATTATCCTAATTTGTAATTTTTATTATAGAATAAGTCAAGCTGCATTTGTTAATTTATGTTGGTTAACAAGCAATAGTGGCAGATAAAGCACTTAATTTAACATACCTAGACACAAGAACATAGCAGGCCCCCAGAGATAATAATGAAATGGAAATATGAAATACAATTACTGTAGAACCATACTCCTTCACTGCTTTTTTCAGTTTTTCTTTGGCACTCATCACTGTTTGTGTGTCTGTACTCATTTTCCGTGTTCCAAAAGTGCCAGCTATTCTTTGAAAAATTATCACACACAAGTTAATTATATTAAATTGTATTTGAAGAAATATGATCATAAAACATGTTCAGTAATTGATTGTTTAGTCATGTTAGATAAGGAATTAAAGGTTCATTGTTATTTATGCACAGACTTAAAATTTTTTAGGTATGATTTCTTATCATTTTGTTAATGAATCAAGCAACAGATAAAATAATACTTTTTATAAGGATGTATATTAAATGAGAGAGATGATAACCTGGCAGTGATTCTACTAATATTAATATAGAAGCTCTTTTCCTTTGTATTGAAACATACTAATAGATGCATTAATTTGAATTGTTAACTCTTAAATTAAAATATTTTTACAAAGTATAATTGAAATATCTTACCTTGGTTGAAGAGTTTTCCTCTATACTCATTTCTCAATGTCAAATAATGAGCGCTGTGTAGATGATCAGATAAATATTTATAGCCTTGCCCCCATTGTGATCCTGGCATATTTAAGTGTGTGTGATTTCCACTAAACGGGCTTGGTACATTACTTTGCATCGACGACGATAGACTGACAGCGCCACGACAGTCATATTTATTAACATGTGGATCAGATTGTAGAGTGATATCAATTTCACGAAACACTTGCTTTATCCCATGAAAATTAATGACGGGACCAGAAATATCTCTTTCTCGTAGTGGGGAAAACCTTCCCATTTCTGCTGAATTTATATCTACTACATTTGTCGGTAATTTAAGAGGGGCCGCTTGCGGAAACTTTACAGATCCCGTATTATGTATTGTGTTGCCCACTTGATTTGTGCCACCTAATAAAGAAACAATTGCTTGTGAATGCTTAGTGATACAACATATAATATACTAGTCCACCATATAATATCATACATTATGTAGGACATGTAAATAACTGTAACGTCAACAAAGTAACTGGAAAATTCCGAATGTTAATCATATACTAAAGTCTTACCTAAATAACTGAATATTACATAAGGTTTCGTTTTCACGAAGCAACTCGATTTAACAGATCCTTTGAACATTTTGAATTAACAAAATAGTATTATTTCTCGTGTTAATAAAAATACAATAGATTGAAAAATGACACAACACAACACAAACAAGGATGATTGACGTATGACAGTTGACATTTGTTTTTTTGTTTTGTTCGGTTCAGGAACAGATCATTAAAATTTATTTCGACAGATAAATTATTTTGTTTCTTTTTTTTATAATTCAATGTAAAACGTAATATTATTTCCGTCAAAAATCGGGGCAATTTCTTACATGAGTTATGGTAAACGAGAAATGGACCGCTTGTATGCGATCGCCAGGCTCATGATTATGAACTATAACAAATCGTACACGCTTTGCCTGCCGGCTTATATTAGTATAATGGTGATTTATAAAATATATTCAATTTAATATTGGAATAAAATTAATGATACTTTTTTTCATATTTACATAATTTAATAGTTATTTCTTAAATCTTAGATCTGAAATAATAGCTATATGATCTGATGGAAAAACAATACTCGGCAGAGCCGTATGGGCTTGCAGTTCTTCAATTGATGGAAACGGAACGACCTGTTGACAAAAAAAAGTTATTGATATATCTAAAAATAATTCAAAACTTTGTTGTAATTTTAATGTTGAAATGATTACCTGTTCTACTTCAAAGCCGTTTTTGTCATAAAAAATGTAATCCAAACAGTCTGCAAATCCAACCGTAAAATTGGTAAAGGGAGGTGTTCCACAAGCACTTCCAAGGGAGAAATCATGTGATAGACACAAGTCGGATATTTTTTCCTCAGCATCTGTTAATTTTATGTATTTTCAAATGTACATTACATTTTATTAAACTAGAAATAAGTGTTTGTGTAGCCAGTTAAAAAATAATAAAACTTACTTGACTGCCAATCTGGAAGACTATCTGGAGCTACACCTGTGGTGTATAACTGATAAATACCACATGAAGGTACACTGTTAAAATCACCACTCAGAATCAGCGATATTCTTTTCCCAGGGTGCTAGAATTACGAGACAAAATTATTGTTGCAAATGAATCTATAAGATGAAAATGTTAAGAAATAGATAAAAATATCGACAAACCTTTTTAATCACATTGTCTCTAATATCACTTAGCCAATATATAATAATTCCACCTTGAAGCAGCCTTATATGATCAGCATCAGGATGGAAATACAAATGAGTGTTAGCAATAATAACTATTTCATCTATATTGTCTTTTGATTGCAATATTGTTGCACTTGCCACTGTTGATCTGTTCAGTAATCTATCAGTCAATGGCTTATTGTCTTTTATTACATTCCACGTTGATTGTAGACATGGCAAAGTTTTTATAGCATCTGCTAATAAAATGTTCTCATCTTCCAACATTCTGTTTAAATTAAAATAATATTTAAATACTAGGCATCACAGAGAATATCAAACCTGAATTAAAAACTTACTCAAATCTGGATTGTCTATAAAAACAAGCTAATCCCTCTGAAACAGTTTTGCCTTTCTTGTAAAATAAGCCTTTTAATCCTAGACTGTCCAAAAATGGTTCTAAACTGTTATTGAATATCTTCTTGTCCACTTCTTGAAGGCAATAAATGTCAGCATTGTATCCTGGTGATAAAAGTTCCAATAATTAAAAAAGTGTCAGATATTTAAAATGTTTCATACCTTTTTAATAAAACAAATTCTAGCCTAAAGTTATTGATGTTTAAAATCATGAATATTTTAAAATAATTGATACCATTACCCCAAATCTCAAAGTTCATCATCAATCAAATCAAATTTGTTAAAACATTAATTTGGTCTAATTAAATGTATTCAACTCACCTTCAAGTTCCTTCAAAATAAGTTGCTTCCTGTAGTCCATTTGAAGAGCATATGGTGGGCAGTACGGATGGAGTACACTTCTTGTGAAGTCCGAATCGCAATATAAATCTGCTAATATATTGTACGAAACACATCGGAAACTGTAAACTAAAAAACATATAAACCTAGTCTATAAAAACCCAATGACCTAGTACTAGTACAAAGCTTTTTTAATACAGGAACTTTTAATTCCAATAAAAAAAACATTTCATGTATAGCCTGAACTTGAATGACTTTAAAAAAATATTTAAAGTTATACAAAAATAAGGCGCACCTAGCATCCTTTAATTTTGAAGATGTAAAGTGATGTCTTGTTTCAAAAGGACATGGGCCAGGTCCTGCTTCCACTTCAGTTGTAGAAATAGTTTCCACAGCAGGTCCAATGGTGTTGTTATTACCTGAAAATTAATAGAAATAATTTTTTGGGATCCTGTTTTAACTTTTTTTTTTACATAAAAACTGTCCTATAAGATGTTATTCAAATTGATAAGTATTTGTATTCTTTGCACTTTTATTTGTAATGTATATGAGGCCATTAGTGCCATTAAATCATTGAAAAAAAGAAGCATAAAGCGTAAGTCAAATACAAAATATACCCAGACCACATATTACATAAATGTTAATAACACATATTTCAAAACATTGAATAAATATAGGTACATTGGTAAAACTAAATTGTATGATTGAGCAATGACTTTCACACTTTTGAGTAATAAATATTATCTTAATAATGTAGATTAAAGGGTTTTAAGCAAAAACATGTTCACCTGGAGTACATTCCAACTTCAACTTCATACCCACATCCACCGATGTTGGAACATATGAATAACTATTTCCAACTGGAATCCAATTAATGTGTACATCACTTATTACATTTCCTTGGTCATTAACAGGTTTGCCTGCATACCAATTGAAATTAGATTTATCCTTCATTGTGTATAGAGTTTGAAAATACTCAGGATAAACAGGAAATCCAACAAGTAAACTTTTAGGTAAACTTATATTGATAATCCATGGTGCATTAAACACAGCTTCATAAAACTGTTCACATATTTGTACTTTGATAGGTCCTTCCATTTCAAATAAATCCTTGCAAGAATATTTATCAGACATTTCTTTGTTGTTGACATCCAACAAAGCAATTTTTATTTTATCATCAACTGAAGACTTTTCATTTTTTTTTCTCTTCTTGGAAATAACTTTTTGGACGTTTGCTTCAATACGGTTACATAGTATTTGTATATTTTCAGTAGGTTGCCTTCTAAAATTGAACTGTCTTACCGCATCTTTAATTTTTAACAAAAATGATACGTCGATTTTTTCCTCCGCCTCAACATAGCGAAAATAACATTTGCTTGCGTTCATTGCACTAGTTTTTGAAATTTTAACTGCCGTAGATAATTTTTGGGTTATTAAACTGAATCTTAAAATCATATTACATACCTTCGAGTACACTCGAAGTTATTTCCTAATTTATTATTTCTGACATATTACTTTTTACATCTCGCCTTGATATTTATACATAAAAAATGAAGATCTTCGTGATATATATCCAAATCAGATTAGTCCGAAATCGTGGCTCAGCAAAATAAGTAGTAAATACTAAATAGGTTAGGTGAAGTTTTAGGTTAGAAAAGTAGGAACAGGAAATGTCAACATGTCATTTGTCAACTTCAAGAATTTGTTTTTCTATTTACATTATGCGCGGTTTTCACCTGGTCATAACAGTTGGAAACTAGGCTCTGATTGGACTGTCGAACAACTGGTTGAATGTGAAAGCCTACAGGCGCTATGTTAAGTTAATGAATGTCGCTTGCCAATGCAACGACGCTACTGTACTGACCTAGTGTGAACTGGGCACTATTGGACTCTGGGGTTTGAGTTTTATCCCCATTTCTTGAAAAGAATTAAACAATTTTGTAAAAATACATACGAATTATAAAAACTTTTCATCCATCAAAGCAATCATAAAATAATATATAATATGATTTTTTTATTGCGTTAAAAGAATGGAACCGAAAGTACTGACAACATTGAACGGCTACGTGTCAAGTGATTGTACGCGTTGCACAGCCAACAACACCAATCCGATTCGACTGTCTGCTACAAAACTTTGTCTTCATAAAGTTAATCAGTCTTCTCAAAGGCGTAGCAGATCCGAATATTTATAACTGAAAATGGTAAAAGAACGAATTAATTAATATAACATTTAAATAATTATTTATTAATAGCAAGAGTATTAATTTTCTTATTGTAAATTCAGCCAGCTTCGCCGAGCTCAACTTCCGTGGGGTCTGGTGGACGGTCACCAAGTAAATCTTCCGCAGTCCCAAGATCTTCAAGCGGCAGTACAGTACGACAACGCAAATCTACTACCACAACTACAGCTGCTCGGAATAGAAGCACTGGTGCAGGCTCCGGTGGTATGTGGCGCTTCTACACCGACGATTCTCCCGGCGTAAAAGTGTACGTGTGTAAATATATTTCCTTTGTTTTACTTAATATGAAAATTAAATAAGATGTCGTGTTTCAAGCTTTTTAGAGATCTATTTCAAGTAGAGTTATAGCTAACCAATATTCGCTAACATGACCTGCTGTAAAAACATTGCTAAATTCTTGTGTGTTAGACAATGTGTGACTTTGATATTGGACATCTTGTTTGACTACAAAACATATATTTTTATCACCATCCCTAATGTTACTGCATTTGGTTGCATAGTAACATTAAAATTGTTGAGAATAGTATAGTGACAATTGCTTGTGCATGATTGGTAATTCATAAGGCATCATGAATATTAATAATTGTATATTTGTTTACAGTGGACCAGTGCCAGTGTTGGTGATGTCTCTTCTCTTCATCGCGTCAGTGTTCATGCTTCACATTTGGGGAAAATACACTAGAGCATAAATTATAGTTAATGTTTTTTAATTTTACTTCCAAGAGAATTTGAGATCACGAAAGGGAGGGGTATGCTGAGATAAATTATGTAATCTTATTCTTAAATATAAGTTTTTATTTACTGATTTTTTTTATTTAAACCTTAAAAAATAATCCATATTTACATATATGAGTATTTAAAACTAAAATGTGTAGAAACACCATTATCTATTTCTTACAAATATATCATAGCTGTCATCAAATTCACCCAAAATTAAAAAAAAAATGAATACATGGGTTTTCAAGAAATTTTATCTTATTTACTGTTTGTAGTTTATGTTATCAGCCTTATTTAGATATTTAAAACATTGTGTTAAAAAAGTAAAAACTAACTAAAATAAGTAAATTTGTAGCCACAATGTTAATCAATTATATCATGTTTTCCTTATTCAATAAAAAAAGTGTAAAGCAAATTAAAAGTACATAATAATAACATAAAAAATAGTTTGTAAAAAAATTAAAACACTAAAATAGTTGATCTTTTCTATCTAGAGTAATTTTTCAAGATATTTTGCAAAAGCAAAATTAATACTTTTAGAGAGAACAAACACATCAATACTGAGTAAAATTAAAATAGCTCAATTTGAGGTTTACACATTTTGAGTGAGTATCTTTGTTATGACACTAGAATATAAAAAAAAATGTTCTTATGTCAATAATAAAATAACAAATTGAAAAGATCAAGGACACAATTCCTACATCTTTCTGCAATGTTACTTTGTTCATCATACATAAGCTTCTACTCTTCGACCTCTTATTTTGTCGAAAAATTGATGCCAAGAAACTAAGGTCTTATTAGACCAGATCCAAAAACTTGATGTGATACCAACAATCATTGTCATAAGATATTTTATCATAAACATTTCAAATTTAGGTCTTACTACATCATGATAAGTAAATGGGCACGGGATTGAGTACATTGGAGTTGTACATAAATCTCTATGCCATGTTACCATCCAACTGTCAAAATTAACATATTCATAAAACAAACATGCTATAACAATGAGGGCAGGTACAGTGTAAAGAACACCAAAAACTCCTATCCTAATCATTAATTTTTCCAGCTTATCAGTTTTTGTACCATCATGTTTCATAACTGTTCTGATTCTAAACAATGAAACAAATCCAGCCAGCAGGAAAATTGTTCCCAGCACAAGATAAGCACAGAGTGGAGATAACACAAATCCTTGTAGAGCTTCCGCATCCCAAAGTCCTACATAGCAGACACCTGACAGTATATCACCTGTGAAGAAATTTTTCATATTATTTTCTTAAATTCTAAACTAAACTAAATGTAAAACAACTAACTCACTTACAATCACACCTACTTTTATGTGAAATACCAATTCCACTTGCCCAGATGTAGGTCCCCCGATAGGCGGAAAATAGTAGGTGCCAACACCAGAGGAATGAGTAAGGTTTAGCCATATTACATTTGTAAACCCAATGCATTACCAAAGTAATCATTCTATAGAGAATGTATTTTTTTATTATCAAGTGGCATGTAACTGAACATTGAATTGAGCAGAAAGTCAAATGTCAAAGTCAAAGCATAAACTTACCATCCACTTTTCCCATTGCCAATATGGATATTGTTTTTATGGCGGGCACTGCCCAAGCTGCCAAATGAAAGTATTGAGAGTTTGCTTCAATCGCTTCATGACCCCATTTTAACCCTGCAGCTAAGAACCAAGTGAGTGTCAATATAACCCACCAGATACTTGAAGCCATGCTGAAGAAATACACAACCATAAAAAGTATGGTACATGGTTCATGTTTGGTTCCTTGTGTTATTACAGATATATTTGGTAATCTTGTACCACTAATAGTTGGTGGAAACGGTCCTTGACAACTGACACTATCACCTGCTCCCCACCCCATGACATAAGATGCTGCAACCATCAGGTAGCATACTGATAGAAATATTATAGGCCTTTCAGGATAACGAAAGCGATCTGTGTCTATAAGAAAAGTTAAAACTGTAAATAGGCAACTTATGGTGCATAATGTTGCCCATATTCCAATCCAAAGCCTAGCAAAATTCTTTTCATCTTGGCTGAAAAATATACCATTGCAAGGTGCTCCACAGTCTTTCTCCACTTTATCTCCAACTTTCAAAGAGTACTCCAAATCCAAATTTCTGGATATCTTGAACTGAATGGGACAAACAAAACCGATGTCCCTTGCCCCATGCAGTTTGGTAGGATTTCGCTCAATATTTGCCTTAAAATCTACCTTTGGAAGTTTTGTCTCTGGACGTTGACGCAATTCTTGTGTGCCATTGTTATCGCCAAAACACAAGACACCTTTGCCAGCAACTGGAAATGACGAGCACTTCAAATTTTCTGGCCAAGGAAATCCATAGGAAAACATACTTGTGTGACAACCATGTTTAGCAGATTCACATAAATGACGGCATGGCGGTATCGGGTTCTCTAATATTGTACATAAAGGAGCATATACTGCACACAGAAAAAACTTCAAGTCCGGAGAACAATTCACTTTTATGAAAGCTGTAAATTTTAACACATCTTGACTTGCATCTGATTGTTTGGCATGGTTTAAAATATTAGGAAAAATAGTTTGGTTGTATCTAATATTCTGGCAAAGTGGTATAGTAATTGGTTCACATCGACCATGGTGCGGCAACGAATCCCCTTGATAAACAGTAACACGTGAAGTTTCAGTTAAAACAAACAAATAAAACACTGGAAGGACAAACGATACGTAAACAATCCCCATTTTAGCTTTCTGCTATGGTTGAGGCTTTATTATTATCATTCTTGAAACACTTTTAAAGTTAGTGAAAATACGAATATAATCATATGTAAGTCCTTTTATAAAATGAATCCTAATGTAAAATAAAAAACTAGAAAATAAGTGAAACTGTACAATGGCAAACTAAAATATCTTATCTATCAAATATCAAAGAGTATAAAAACGTTTGGCCCAACCAGAAATATAGCATTCCTGTAAAGAGGGCGCCACAAGTCTCTTTAAAATTGCAACTGCAATATTGTATAAAGGTACTTAGGTCTTTAGGCACTTGACAATTTTTGGAAATAAAAATAACACTTGAATGTTAGGGTATTAGTGACACAATTTGTCAGTTCAATTCCCTCTTAACTTTAAGCATTTTGTGTGGTTTTTTTTTATGTAATTTCATGAAAGTGTTTAAAAGTAGTTTAAGAGAGGTTTTTTTTTTAAAGTAAGTGATATTTATAACACGAAAAAGAAGTAGAGGAGTTCAATAATCACATTTGAAATTATGAATCTTGTGTCTATTGTAACGATAGTGTGTTACCATTTGTTAATTCAAGATATTCCCGAAGTCCCAAGGGGACGCATGCATAATATGTTTTGTTTTGTGATTTTTAAAAAATTATTGGCTTATAAATTATACTGATAGTTGTTTTATTCAGTTTAAATTGCAGTGACAAAACATTTAGTTGTAATGTATTTTCTGCAACTAGAAATATCGCGTTCATGACATTAAATAATTTGTGCGAGTGCGTAATGAGAACTGTTTATTTACATCTACCGACATAGATATTATTCAATATGCCACAACACATACTTATTTACTTACGTAATAAGGAAATTACTGTGTGTACTCAGAGACATAGCAAGACACTGTATGTCTAATAATTTTACACCGCGTCGTTTACTTCGAATCACGACGCAAACCACATTGTTTGTACTGTGCGTTGATTGTATCTAAATAATCAATAAGATTTTTACAGTTCTGTACGTAAGCATCACATAAGACAATTTCTATCATATTAAGGCTATTCCTCGCCTTTTTGTCTAAAGAGAGAGCATTGCTTAAAGTTTCCTACAAAAGTTCTTTAATTACAGAGTCTGCTCCCCCACTTAAGAAGGTACAAGCAAGTACTATCTATAACAATATGCGTTTTTGTATTCAAAAGGAAAGAATTGCCCTTTAATGTGGAAGTAATACCTTGGTGGTAACCCTAAATGCTCGGTGGCGCCTTCCTGTCGATGTCAAAAAGATGCCACAATATTCTTGTAGAGCTATAAATTCAATACTTTGACGATTCAATGACAATTAGCAATGTCAAACCATGGCAATTGGCAACAACAACACGGTGCTTTTCTTTATCATGAATGCATTGCATTGGCAACAATTTTTCGTGTTTTGTTTACTATGGAAATGTCAATGAAAACTTGAACTTGACTTAAACCGCTTTTCACAATATAACGTATCAAATATTACCCTAGTATTATATTTTAATATTGACTTTATAGCGATAGGAATCTCTACCACCCCTCTCAAAAAGTTAATATAATAACATGGAAGGCAGTGGCGAAAATTTAGACTTTAGTAGATTAATAAATGTACGAGGCAATGTTGATAATATAACACCTCACAAGATAGCAGTCGTTGCTTTTATTAGAGAATATGGTTTATTAAAAATTGAAGGTAGGTAATCAAATCATAATTTATAGACCAAATTTCCACTATAGTATATATAGTTTAAAAGAATAACAAGTTAATAATCTTTTTTTTTTCAGCGAAAACCATGATTAACTGCACTATGGCACCTAAATATAGAAAAGACTTTTGTATTTTAGCCCTGAAATTAATTCAGGTACTGTTTTTAGTAACTGATAATACATAATATTTGTATTGCTTATTGTTATATTTTTAATATATAAATAATAATGTAGTATATATGTTCTAGTGCCCAGATATGGATTTTAAGGATTTAGAGACACTTCTTACGGATGGACGGTATAATTTATTAAGTGTGCACTTGGAAAATTTCTGTGTTCGTCTCAAGAATATACATGTTAATGGTATAAGTGCTTTGATGGACTGCGTTACTTCAACTATTGATAAGTTGATGATAGAACAAAGTGAGACAAACCCTTGTACTATCACAAGATGCAGTGTTTTAGGTAACACAGAATTATTTATGTACTAGTTTTTGTATAAAATCTTTACTGGTTAATTTTCTACCAACCCTATCTACTGTAATTTATATAAGTTTATGTTTAAATTATATTTCAGGTTTCTACTTGAGGAGGATAATGTTGCAATTGGATAAACTTACTTTTGTGCAAGTAGTGTCCCTGTATAAATCATTTTGTGTGTATTATCAAAAAGGTCGACCGGGTTTGATGATGAGATCCCTAAGCAAGGAGGTATGATCCTTTTGTGTTAAAATAATATTTTTTATAAATAAATGAAATAGCATTACATTAATTATATTTTAAATTTTATGTGCTTGTACTTGATTTCTAAATGTATCCATTTAAAAAAAATTGTTGGAAAACTTAACTTGTACATTTAGTTTCTGAATGACAGAAACAAAGTTTAACAAAGTATTAAAAAATGTATGATTTTGATGGTATCAGTGAAATATAATGTTTGTGCATATTTTAAAATTTATGTTATTCAGCGAGATGATTGTACTTGCAGAGATTAAATCATATGGAATCAACAGTTGGTGTGCCGTGTACAGGTTCACCTTCACTACCAGAAGAAACAAAGCCACAAGAAGTTTTTACAAGAATGAATTTAATTGAAAGAGACAAGTATGTTAAAAAAATAATTTACAAAAGATATTACTATTATTGTGTAAATTAATGTTCTTTTTTATGTCTGCAGCAGCCTTGAAGAATGTCAGTGGTCAAGGAAACAAGCAGAGTTATTTACAGCTCAACAAGCTAATTTATTACAGATAAATGAAAGAAAAGCACTTCCTCCTAAACAACTACAGAAAACTATAATGCAGATCATGAATGATATTCCAGATTATTCAGACATTGTAAGTTATTTTAGTAAATAACTAGCTGGTACCTGTGTCTCCACTCTCTTGGAAATTATAAAATCTTAATTGAACAATTGCAGGCTATTTTATAACCCTATGTACAAGAGTTTGGCCATTTTTAAGTAATATATAACAAATAACTATCTATCAAAACTATTCTATTTATAATATGATATTCAATATTCTTGTCAGTACATCTTTTATTTTCTTGGAAAAATGTTTGTGTAATGTGAAAAATATGAATACATTTAAATATTTTATTTTTCAGCATTTTCTTAGTTTCCTAAACTGCATGAGGATGAAGGAATTTTGTGGTGCTCAAGACTCATTATACAATTGTTTCGACAGAACCGTATTTAATATCTGTAGCAGTACAAATAACATGAATGATAAAAATAAAAATTTTCGATATGCTGCTCTGAATAGAGCTGCTATGCACACACAGTTTGGTCATTTGTATGTATGTTTTTAATTATTTTTACGGACTTTAATAATAGTTATCATCCAAGTGTTTAAGTCTGATTCCTTGTTGCTGTTAAATAAAATAAACAGGTGTTTAGTGCTTAGGCAGAAGGCGCCTCAGATCTGAGAAGTATTCTCACATAGGTTTTTTTTGTATAATAGAAGGTGGCAAACGAGCAAGCGGCCACTT